TGTTAATCAAATTTTGTGGCTCTCTCATAAAAAATTCATTTTGATCTTCGACTCTCAGTCTTGTTAGCGACTTGCTAAAAACTGAGTCATATTGGGTGGCCCGGTGGCCTGGTGGCTAAAGCTCCCGCTTCACACACGGAAGGCCCGGGTTCGATTCCCGGCGGGTGGAAACATTTCGACACGTTTCCTTACACTTGTTGTCCTGTTCACCTAGCAACAAATAGGTACCTGGGTATTAGTCGACTGGTGTGGGTCGCATCCTGGGGGACAAGATTAAGGACCCCAATGGAAATAAGTTAGACAGTCCTCGGTGACGCACTGACTTTCTTGGGTTATCCTGGGTGGCTAACCCTCCGGGGTTAAAAATCCGAACGAAATCTTATCTTATCTTATCTCTTGGGACTTGAGTAGCTCACTCATTTCCTTGCTGTCATCTGTGTAGGACCCATCTTGTTTAAGTAGGAGCCCAATACTGGACGTTGTTCTCGATTTTGATTTGGCATAGGAGAAGAAATACTTTGGGTTTCTTTCGATTTCATTTATGGCTTTTAGTTCTTCCCGCGATTCCTGACTCCTAAAGGATTCTTTTAGCTTAAGTTCGATGCTTGCTATTTCTCTGACCAGTGTCTCCCTACGCATTTCAGATATATTGACCTCTTTTAGCCGCTCTGTTATTCTTTTCCGTCGCCTGTAAAGGGAGCGCCTGTCTCTTTCTATTTACATCTACTCCTTCCTTTTTTCTTAGAGGAATAAGCCTTGTGCATACATCGAGTGCCACCGAGTTAATCTGTTCTAGGCATAAGTTGGGGTCTGTGTTGCTTAGTATATCTTCCCGGCTTATATCGGTTAGGACTTGGTTTACTTGGTCCCACTTTATGTTTTTGTTATTGAAGTTGAATTTGGTGAATGCTCCCTCGTGACTAATCTCATTTTGTCGGTCTGGGGCTCCTCGCATACATGTCTGAACCTCAATTATGTTGTGATCTGAGTATATTGTTTTTGATATGGTGACATTTCTTATCAGATCATCATTGTTAGTGAAGATGAGGTCTAGTGTATTCTCCAGTCTAGTAGGCTCTATTATTTGCTTGTTTAAATTGAATTTTGTGCAGAGATTTAAAAGCTCGCGTGAGTGTGAGTTTTCATCAGAGCTGCTCCTGGTGTTATTACTGCAACAATATTATTTGCTATATTTCCCATTTTAGGTGCCTTAAGTTGAAATCCCCAGGAGCAAGATGTTGGGTGCAGGAGCTGGAAGATTTCCAGACATTGGTCAATTTTAACAGCTGTTCTTGAATTGCGGGATGTTGCATCGGAGGCTGTGATACACAATGACTAGGTTTTGGTTCTCGACCTTACTGCTAAAACTTCACTACATCATTTGAGGCATTTAGCAGTTCTGTGCAAACAAGTGACTCTGCAATGTACAGGCCAAACCCCCCCCCCCTTCCTTTGCCTGTTCACTCTGTCACATCTGTATAGGTTGTAACCTGGGATCCATATTTCGTTGTCCAAGTGATCCTTTATGTGGGTTTCAGTGAAAGCCGCGAACATTGCCTTTGCCTCTGCAAGCAGTCCACGGATGAAAGGTATTTTGTTGTTTGTTGCTGGCTTTAGACCCTGTATATTTGCAAAGAAGAATGTTTATCGGACTGGTGGTATTGTTGGTACTGGGGGGGGATTTTTTTTCCGGCATTAGTATCTGTATCTGTTGGTTTGGAGTGGAGGCCATCGACTGTGGGTTTCACTCCAGGAATGACTGGATTTGGTGTACGATTTCTGCCATTTCCTGCCAGTTTTTTTTCCTTCTGGCACTAAAAAACCTCTCCCTTAGTGGCTGTGGCTACCCAGGTTTCCATGGGCTGGATGTTTTGTATCTTTTTGTCCCTTTTAATGGTATGCCTGGCAATTCAAGTTTATAGCACAGACTTTCCTGTACTGAAGAGGTACACAGTTCAAGGGTGAAAAAAGCTTACAGGAAGGGAGTTTGCATTTTCCTGTTGTCATATGGGCATGGCATTTTTCTAGGGTGGTCATAGTTGCACGTCCCATCTGTTTTTCCAGATTTCCCATGCCAGCAGATACCGAGTGCATAGTATGTGCACAGGCTTGGTTTCCGTTTGCCTTGGGTTTCTGTGACTGTATTCCCTGTTGGTACATGTTTCCCTGTCTTACTTCTATCCTCCCTAGCACCAACAATGGAGCTCCCACCAGTTGTTTTTGGTAATATATCCTCACTATTGCTAGTGGAGTCCTCTTGTTTGCTATTTCCTGCGGTATTTCTAGTTTGTAATATTGGTTTTATCTTATCTTTGACTACACTTGTTTCCCTACTATGGCTCCTGTCCCCTATGAGGTCATTTATATGTATTCCTTCCTGCGTATAATTCCCGACTACCTGGACGAAAACTCCAGCCCACCATTACTGTCTCCCAGGACAGCATCTCCAGCTTCACCATTACTGTCTCCCAGGACAGCATCTCCAGCTTCACCATTACTGTCTCCCAGGACACACAAGAATATTCAAGCATAGATCTTATCTTATGTAGGTACTTCTTGATATGAGAGGGGGGCCTGACTGAGGTGGGCTTTTGCGAAGTTTACCTCTTTGGTGACATGTAATGTGGAGTGGAGTAATCTGTCGATCTCGTAGCCCAGGATCTTATTTGGGTTTTTGGTGGTGATCGATGTACCTCTGATGTAGATACCCACTTTGTTTTCAGTTGTTGTGGCTTAACATCCAGAGGCCAGGATGGCATTATAGATATTTACCAGAGACATCGTGCAGTCTTGGGGTAGGTACTTTATTTGCTTTACTATTATGCCTGAGAGGCCAGGAGTTTTATTTCTCATTCTGCCTATGACTTGGCACAATCGCTCTTAGGGTAATTGGTCTAGTAAGGGGGTGGTCATCTTCGAGAGTTGTGTCATCAAATGGTATTGGTTTGAAGTTTACCAAATTGTCATCCATCCATTGGTTGACCCACTGGTAATGGTCAATTTTGAAACTGCTGCTGTTGTGCGAGAGAATTTTCTCCCATCAAATTGGCTTGGTCTTGTGGGTCATCCAGGTTGATAGACACTTCCTCATCATCTTCGTCAGTGAAGATGTATGTTAGGTACTGTGTAGGCATGGGCTTTGCCCCCCAAGAGCTGGCGAATCTTACTCCAGAACTGTTTTCAATTCAAATTCAAAGTTTATTCTCTATAAGGATTACAATGCTGAGTTTACAGAAATTTGGTTATTGTGTGGTTTACATGTGGTAAAATAATGATTACAGAGTGTACCACTAGAACGCTTAGCATGGCTAGGCATTTCGGGCAGACTTAGTTTTATTCTTAATTGTAAAATATTACAAATTATGAGGCAAGTTGGTATTATGGCTAAGTGACTAAATACTAGTTTGTGAGTTTAGCAATGTGAATGTTTTTGTTTTGGCACAGTACATAGTTTCAGTATTGGAGTATCACAGGATTCATTATTTTAAGATTGAGATTAATATTTCTGTTTATGGTCAAATGAGTGAGTGAAAGTGTGAACCACCAGGTGGTATTCATGTAGTTAGTTGACGGGGTGTATCAGGGAGATAAGATGTTTTCTAATGGTAGTTTTGAAGGTGATGAATGTGTCTGCAGTTCTAGAGTTCTCAGGTAGGGTATTCCAGATTTTAGGGCCTTTGACATACATTGAATTTTTGTAAAGGTTTAGTCGGACACGGGGAATGTCGTAGAGATGTTTGTGTCTGGTGTTGTGCCTGTGGGTTCTGTCACAACTATCAAGAAAGCATTTTAGGTCAAGGTTGTTATTAGAGTTTAAGGCCCTGTAGATGTAGATTGCACAGCAGTAATAAGTGTGGATGTACTGAACTGGGAGTAAGTTTAGGTCTATGAAGAGTGGGGGGGGGGGTGTTGCCAGGGATGGGATTTAGTGATTATTCTTACTGCAGCTTTTTGTTGGGTTATTATTGGCTTTAGGTTTGGGTCAGTGTTTGTATTGGTTACCCTGGAGAACAAGATATTTCCATATCTCACTTGTGCTGTGATTAGGTTAATTAATTCCAGCTCCATCCCCTGCAGTAGAGCAAATGTGATACCTTTGATGAGTCTTGAGAGTCTTCCTTTGTTTGGTGCTAGCCTGGTGAACCAGGTTACTACTGGAGGCCCGCTGCCTCGCATATCCATCACAGCCTGGTTGATCTGGCACTTGGTGAACATACTTGTCTAGCTTACTTCTACATTTATTCCAGATGTGTTTCCGATATCTACTGGTAAGATGTTGAATAATCTGGGGCCATGGATGTTGATACAGTATTTCCTTATTGTGGGTGTGATGGGCAGGGGTTTTAAGGTGGTTAGTCGGCTCTGGCAAGTTGCTTTGAGAAGTAATGTAAGGTTTCCAGGACATCTGTTGATCAAAGAGAAGGCCAAGTACCTAACTGCATATCGTTTAGGGATACAGGAAAAATTAAACGCAATTAAAATACAACAGAGCATTAGGAAAAAGAAATCTGGTATTTTTTGTAAAAAAATTTTAAAAACTTGATAGGCGCAGTAAGAAACATCGACAGTATTCTGGAGAGAGGCTGCTACGTACTAGGTGATGGTCAGCGCCTGTGCAAGCTATAGCAAAATCATCAACATAAAGTGACAGCCAAATATTAGAAGGGAGAACAGAGGCAAGGTCACTGATAGCGAGCAGAAAAAAAGAGTGGTACTAAGAACACAACCCTGAGGGACACCTTCAGTCCTTACGTAGTTGGGGAAAACATTAATGTGAACATAAAAATGTCAAGCAAGATGTGTAAGCTAATGATACATTAATGCAGGTTTGTACATGTTTTTTAATTATCATTAGGTACATAGAATTAATTGTATGAATACATTTATCTGACACTTGAATACTTCTAGCACAACTGTTTTCTTACACAGAGTGCTGGCTGATTTAGTAGGTAATTTCTTAAATACTTTGTTACTGTATTTAATTTAAAATTTTATTGCAGCTGGATGACATCCTAATTAATGGGTGGGCAGAGGTCAACCAGGGAACTCGCAATATTATCCAGAATAATGTGAGTGTTGAATGGTGTAAGAAATGTAGTAATATTGTGTAATAATATTTAGCCGCATAAATGAAAAACTGTGCTGTATTTGATAGACTATTGCACTCCAATATAAGAAAAATTTTAATATTTGTCTTAAAAGCAGTTTTAGTGCCTTTTTTATATAAAAATATATATCACACTTGTATTATTTGATAATGTGGTACTATATGTTACTAATTAAACCTCAAAGGAAGATTATGTAACTACATATCATTGGAGACCTTAATGTTAATCATATTATTGGCCTTGTTCATTTATCTAAGTTATTTCTTAATATAACACCACTGTATACATATAATAATGTATATTAACACCAGCTATTCCTTAATGGTGAATGGCTATTGTTTCAGGGAAGTGGACTGGATATAAATTTCCTTGGATCAAACCTGATTGCCTCTCATTCCTCAGGTGCTGTATGACCCATATGGGTTGAGTGCTTCCTCACAAATATAATGATAATAAACCTATCTGTAAAAATATTTGCATTAAACTTCAACAAAGTTTATTTTGTTACATTTCAGTTCAACTGTTGTGGATTTTATGGACCCAAGGAGTTTGCCTACACTAACTACCCAATAAGCAACTCTTGTTATGACACCATTCAGGAGGTCAACCAGGAAACCTTTACTAATGCCCAGCAGCTCAAGCAGGTGATTGACAGCCATCATTCTTATGAATTTTTTTTTTTGTGCAATTCTTATACAAGCCCCTCCATTTAAGAGGTCAGGGTCAAGCCTCCAGGGTTTCACACAATTACACTCTAGAAACAGAAAACTTGAAGCAATGTAAGGTGGTACACTTAAAAGTGATCAACAGTACATTGGAGAGTGTTTTTATGAACTGAAACAACTATACTATACTGGGAACTAGCAACTTGAGACAGGTCACAGCTTGACTATAGGATATAACCTTTTCCTTCAAGCAACAGATTTTGCACTCCCAAGTGAAAACAGGACACTGGTGGGCATACAGAGGTGGTGCTCTTTTTTGCAGTTAAGGTGAGCTGTTTTGCAGTAAGGGTCACCATGATCTGCAACTCCAGACTGGGCACTTCCTTGTAATCTACAATGTTTTGTTGGGTATGACAAAAGCATTAGCAGTTGCGATATTGCGGAGGTATTGGCTTTTCTCTTCTTGCAAAGCAGTGTACAGTTATGTAGTCTGAGGGGAGTTCACAGCATTTGAAAGATAGGTTGGGTACTAGCACCATCAACAGGTAGGATAGACACAATTTTAAACTTTGATGGGTAGATGCTGAAATTTGAGTTGCACCTCAAATTTCCACAAAGAGTTCCTGTGTGTGGAAGAACAGTCTTGCAGCAAGAATTTATGGAGTGATGGTTGACCATGATATTAGTGTTGGCAGTAGCATGGAGTTGTGGCAGCTTATTAGTCTGGGCAGCATCCTTTATGCTGAAGTGTATCCCACTCTTCAAAGAATGGCATAAGCCCTTCATAACAAATGGGTTACATTCCTGAAAATCTGCACGTAAATTAAAATACTGTACCATTGCGTGAACCTAGTTGGGAAAATCAGCTTAAATTATGGTTACCTTGAATTTTGCTAGTTGATTTTAGTAAAAATTATTAATTATAGTATAACTTGCCTTAAGTTCTGGTAGTAGTGACTCACTGAAATGGAAGTGTGTGGAGGGTTGATGTTGGACCATTGGGCTGAAGTGTATGGCTGTGGTTCTTGTGTTGTGGATGCAGAGTTGTCAGTAGTTGGTTGTGGTGACATACATATGTACTTTATAATACATCTCTGGTCTTTTGTTTTTAACCCTTTGACTGTCGCGGCCGTATATATACGTTTGCGAGGTACCGTGTTTGACGTATATATACTCATAAATTCTAGCGGCTTCAAATCAGGCAGGAGAAAGCTAGTAGGCCCACATGTGAGAGAATGGGTCTGTGTGGTCAGTGTGCACCACATAAAAAAAATCCTGGAGCACGCAGTGCATAATGAGAAAAAAAAAACTCCGACCGTTTTTTTAATTAAAATGCCGACTTTGTGGTCTATTTTCGTATAGTATTTGTGGTTGTATTCTAGTTTTCTTGGTCTCATTTGATAGAATGGAATCTATATTATAGAAATGGAGGTGATTTTGATTAATTTTTACTATTAAAAAGAACCTGGAAATGAAGCACAAAGTACAGGAAATGTTTGATTTTTGCCGATGTTCAAAAGTAAACAAATGATGTCATTGTCCAAATAAATGTCCAAATAGCCATTCTAATACGCAGTCATGAATGGGTTGATGTAATTTTTACAATTATTACAGTATTGCAGTAGTCTGCATAACAGTAAATCTTCTATTTTTTGTTTGAATAAATTTCAAAATAAAAAGCAAGAGTAATATCACAGGGACCTGGAGACATGACTGATGAACAAAGAAAAATGTTATTTTAGAGCCAGGAATGTCTGCATTTTTCATTCTGGACCTTTTTTTGAAATTGTCGTATTTTTTAAATTTCGTGAAATTGGCCAAATTGCAAATTTCTGACCATGTTATTGGGTAGTTGAAATCGGTAAATGGGCAGTTTCTTGTACTCAATTGATAGAAAAAATAGAGTTCTGAAGAAATAGTTATGAGTTTGGTTGACTGGAATAACGGAATTAGCCGAAAATAGGGCTCAAAGTGGGCGAAATTGCCGATTTTTAAATATCGCCGAAGTCGCTAACTTCGCGAGAGCGTAATTCCGTCAGTTTTCCATCAAATTTCGTTTTTTTTGGTGTCTTTACAATCGGGAAAAGATTCTCTATCATTTCATACGAAAAAATAATTTTTTTTTTTTTTTTAAATTTTGCGACACCAGGAGACACCTCAGGATTTGGGGTTGCGACAGTCAAAGGGTTAACCATGCAGTACTTTATACAGAGCTGATAAGACATTGTCAGGCATACCAAATGTTTCTAGATTTGTCAGAGTTCTTTTCATTGAAAAATATCTGCATCTTACCATTAACATGGAAATGTTTACAAAATTCATACATATGTTAACTTTTTATCTTAAAGTTCTTCCTTATCCTCTTCCTGTATCTGCCTCTTTCTCTCTCAACTGGAAATTTAGCTCCACCACCAATTTTGTGGTTATTCTTCAGCTTCCTGGTCTAACAGTTTATTTACATCATCATACATATCTTCCCAACCACCCTACCTGCCCCCTTGCCAAGAGATGCCCAGCACCTGCCTGACAGCCTCTTTCCTTCTTGCTCTTCAATTCCCCTCTCCCTCCTTCATATCACACACCCAGGTACCCTGCCAGCCTGACCTCCCTTGCCACACACCAGGCACCCCACCTATCTGCCTATTAGCATCAACACACCCATGAGGGAGGCAGGTGGCTTTAAAAGATAAAGAGTTTATTTCTTTGTAAAGGTTACAATGTGTAATTACAATTTTGGTTTAAGTACAAAGAAAGCTACTATCATGCCGGGGCATTTTGAGCAGACCAATCCTAGTACATAATAACTACTCAAATCTAAACAAGATAAGAGTGGTTAACTTGTATTAAAAGCTTTATTTAACCTTAATACTAATGTGAGGTAGTCAAGGAAGAGGTTTATAAAAATAATAATCTTGAAGTTGCACATAATAAAAATATTACAAATAATGGTTCAAACAGTATCTGGGGCTGATGCATTCACTGCTGCATGCCCTACTTGTGTTTAAAAACTTTTTTTTTTTCACAGTCAGAATTGCTGTTTTTTCTTTCATTGGCAAAAATCTTAGAAAACCCAAGACTAGCCTTAGGCTTTCCAAGGGTTTATTTGAGATTGACCTATTTCTTTGTGATAATGTGTGAATACTGATAATGAAACTTTTTTTTTTTCCTCAACAAGTCGGCCATCTCCCACCAAGGCAGGGGGACCCAAAAAGAAAGAAAATCCCCAAAAAGAAAATACTTTCATCATCATTCAACACTTTCACCTCACTCACACATAATCAGTCTTTGTAGAGCCACCTAGATGCAACAGTTTAGAAGCATATATAACATACCTCTCCAAACTGCCAATATCCCAAACCCCTCCTTTAAAGTGCAGGCATTGTACTTCCCACTTCCAATACTCAAGTTCAGCTATGTAAAAATAACCGGTTTCCCTGAATCCCTTCACTAAATATTAACCTGCTCACACTCCAACAGCTCATCAGATCCCAAAAACTATTTGTCTCCATTCACTCCTATCTAACACGCTCACACGTGCTTGCTGGAAGTCCCAGCCCCTCACCCACAAAACCTCCTTTAACCCCTCCCTCCAAGCTTTTTGAGGACGACCCCTACCCCACCTTCCTTCCCCTACAGATTTATATGCTCTCCAAGTCATTCTACTTTGATCCATTCTCTCTAAATGACCAAACCACCTCAACAACCCCTCTTCAACCCTCTGACTAATACTTTTTGTAACTCCACACCTCCTAATTTCCACACTCTGAATTCTCTGCATAATATTTACACCACACATTGCCCTTTACTGCTGCCAGCCGCCTTCTCGCTGCAACATTTTCAACCCAAGCTTCACACCCATACAAGAGTGTTGGTACCACTATACTTTTGTACATTACCTTCTTTGCCTCCTTGGATAATGTAAATGAAACTTATCTGGTAAATAATTGGTCAAAGAGAAGCTAGGTCAACTCTTAACTCTTGGTAGACCTGAAGTTAATATTACCTGCATAACTACCTCAGATTTTCCACTTAAAAAGCTCACCGGATAACAGAGTAAGTGAAAGGCATCCTCACTTATGCTATTTATTGTACCAGGGGTGTTCACTAGGAGCAGCAGCTCCACATGTCTATCTCGCCTAAGCACCAAATTTGAACTGAAATAGGCCACTGGCCTGAGGTGTCATAGGCCTACCACACATGTATCAGCAGAGCATTTCTGCTATAAGAGCGAGAATGCTATATTCGCTTTTAACAGATTCTGCCAGGCCAACAATTTACACACCAAGTATTACATGGAGCTATGCAGGTGCCAAATTCCTACGGGTTTAGCGTTCCCCCATTATAATAATTTGCAGGTGCCAGTACCAACATATAAAGAAATGTGTTTGGTATTCAAGAACTAATACAAAGAAATAATAGTTTTAATTTAGAAAATGTTTTTATATAATAAAAAAATTAAATTATGTAGTAAATTCTTTGTTCTTTACAGGGTGGATGTGGAGTGCCACTCAAATATTGGTTGGATGACAACAAAGCCACTTGGTGCTCCATCCTTGCTGCTTTGGGTGGACTCCAGCTCATGTGCATTGTTCTGTGCATTCACATCATCCACAAACTTAAAGATAAAGCTGGGTACAAACGTGCCTCTGATAAGCGACGTCTTCATGATGAAAAAGGAGCATATTCTTTATGAGCCGTATACCACCATGAGCTTATATGGTGACCTAGGGGATTTACACATGCCAATGTATCCTCATCATATCTGACTAGTTGAGCTGCCTTTACAGCATACCTATAGCTTCCAGACTTAGCAGAAATAAAATTAATTAGGATTGCATAAATCATTTGTTAGGTACTGATATTCTTTCCTTTTGAATGTTAACTGATCAAGAAATTATCTTGATGCTGATGTTTTTGGGGGGAGGGGGGATCATTGACAAGCTCATCTCTTGTTTTGCACCAGTTTGCTCCTAGGGATATGCCTGTATGCCAGTGATGAGCTCCTGATCCAAGGAATTAGACTTCTCTCCTTGGATTGAACCTGGTTGCCTCTCATTTCCTAAATGATGTGACCCCTATGAGTTTAGTGCTCTCCCATTATTAGAATTAGAATACACTAAGTTGCTCAAGATTTATTTTTGTATATAACAAATATAAAACAGAGACTGTGCCATATTAGTATTTTTTTTTTTTTTAAATCAACCACAGTTTCAGTCATTTATATCACCATATCCCTCTCACAAGAAGTTCCTTGATACAAGGAATTGAACTTGAATCAAACCTGAGGTGCTGTATGACCCCTACCTCTCAAGCCTTGATGCCAATGAGGGGGCTCTTGATTCTTCTTTTCCTTGGATCAACTCTGCCTCATTCTCCTGGTGCTGTATGACCTATAGATCTAGAGTTCCTCCCCTCCCTCCCCATAAATGTAATATTAGATCACCATATAAAATCATGGTAGGCCAATGAAGGTTGGTCTTTCACAGATTTTAACTGGCAGTTAACTTTAACAGCAAGTTACTGACACTGAATTGTTCAAACACTTTTTCTGCATTGATGATTGTTTTTCATTGTTACTTTCATGCAGCAAACACATTTTGTTACTATTATACAATACAGTACAGTATTGATAGAAATGCATAACCACAAATACAGACATTAATACTTTATAACTTTAGGTTAAAAAACTAAGTAAATGTATTACAAACAGTTAACCATGTAATGTTAATATAATGTGACAGTATCAGTGTGGTACATGTGCCTTGAACTATTTAAAAAAAACGTTTTTATCCAGTACATTATCTACTGCAGGCAGGTATGTACAAAATTCTGCACATACTTCAACTACTCTTTATCTCTGCACATTCTTGTGTAGCAGAGTCAACAGCAAAATGATATAAATGCCATGAAGGACTGATTTAGATTAAAATAAAAATATTTTTAACTCTGCTGAAGAAATTACTCCAACTATATAACGATTAATAATGAGACATTGACCATAATTTTCTTGTGGTATTTACAATGCATTGCTCCAGTCACCAAAATATAGAAGACAAATGTCATATTCACAGATGTGTGATTCAGGCTGAGTCCCACATGTATAGCTGATACTGATAGGTTCAGTAAGGTTGTTGGTAAAAAAAGTCCTACTAACCCACTTGCTACAAAAAACATTTACCCCAAAATAGTATGACTTATAGGTATGTTATTTTTTATTTTCCCTTTCCCAGAACTCAAGAACAAAAAGCCCTTCCCAGGGAAAATTTAAAATCCATATACTTTGACAAGTTTTATATTAATTTTTTTTTGGTAGTACAGTTTTGGTTTTTCAGTTGGGATAAACTGTTTGAACTAACATTCTTGCATGTATAAAGTGCAATATTTTAAGTTATATGTATTAGTAATGAAAAATTTCTATATTTAAGTTCAGATTGTGTTTTGTTTTTATTATACATTATTAATTTTAAAAATGCAGTTTTGAATGTGGGGCAGAAGTTTGGGGTTTTATAGGGGGTGGGTGCAGGGGAAAGGGGAAAGTGATTGGTGGAATGATGAGTAAAGGGTGTGAAAAGAGAAAAAAAAGGTAGCTTATGAGAGGTTTTTACAAAGCAGAAGTGTTATAAGAAGAGCAGAGTTTTGGGAGAGTAAAAAAAAGGTGAAGCAGTGGTGAGAGAGTGCAAAAGGGAGCAGATGATAGAGTGGGGAGGCACTGTCAAGAAATTTTATGAAAATAAAAAAAAATTTTTGGGGAGTGAGTTAAACAAGTTAAAAAAGGGCCTAGGGAAAGTAGGTTTTGTCATTTAAAAAAAACAGAGTGGGGGAGTTGTAGATGGGGAGATGGAGGTATTAGGTAGATGGCGAGAATATTTTGAGGAACTTTTAAATGTTTAGGGGAAAGAGAGGCAGTAATTTCATGCAATGGTCAGGGAGGTATACCATCTTTTTGGAGGAAGAAGAAGAATGTAAATGTGGGGGAGGTCGTGAGGATTACGTAGAATGAAAGGGGGTAAACAGCGGAAAATGATGGGTCATGACAGAAAAGTTAAAAAAAGGGGGGATATAGTGTTGGGGTGGGTTTGGGATTTTGTTTAATAAAAGTAGAAAGGGGGAAGGTACCTAGGGATTGGGGAGAGCATGATTTTTTTTTTTTTTTTTATTTCCACCGGGGGATTCCACCAAAGGGAGGGTGGCCCGAAAAAGAAAAACTTTTACCATATTCACTCCCCACTGTCTTGCCAGAAAGGGGGCTTTCACTCAGTTTTTAACTGAACATTAACACCCCTCCTTAAAGTGCGGCATGTACTTCCCCCTCCAGGACTCAAGTCCGGCTGCCGGTTTCCCGAATCCCTTTATAAAAGTTACTTTGCTCAACTCCAACAGACGTAAGTATTAAAAACCCTTTGTCTCCATTCACTCCTTAAAAACGCTCAGCATGCCTGCGGGAAGTCCAACCCCCCCTCGACAAAAAACCCCCTTTCCCCCCCTCCTCCAACCCTTTGGGCCGCCCCCTACCCCCCCTTTCCCTTCCACTACGGGACTGATAACTCTTAAAGTCATTCTGTTTCGTCCTTCTCTCTAATGCCCGAACCCCCTCAAAAACCCCTTCCCCTACCCCTCTGGAAAACAGTTTTGGTAACCCGCACCTCCCCCTAACTTAAAAATACGAATTCTTGCATTATATTCACACCAAAATTCCCCCTCAGACATGACTCCCCATGCCCCCAGCCTTCTCCTCGCTGCAACATTATCCCCCCACGTTTCCCAACCCATATAAGAGCTTTTGGTAAATATACTTCATACATTTCCCCTCTTTCCCTCCAAGGAAAAAGTTCTTTGTCCCCAAGATCCTAGGCACCACTCACTCTTTTTCCCTCATCAATTCTTTGATTCACCTCTCTTTCATAGCCCCACCCGCTGACACGTCCACTCCCAAATATCTGAATACGTTCACCTCCTCCATACTCTCCCCCTCCAATTGATATTAAATTTTTCACCCCTAATCTTTTTGTTACCTATAACCCTTACTCTTTCTGTATTCACCTTTAATTTTCTTTTTTTGCACCCCCTACCAAATTCCCCACCAATCTCTGCAATTTTCTTCAAAATCCCAAGGACAGTGTCATCAGCAAGAGCAGGTGGACAACTCCCCTTTGTGTGTGATTTTACTTTTAACTCACGCCTTTTGCCAAGCCCTGCATTTACTTCTTTACAACCCCATCTATAAATATATTAAAAAAACCCACGGTGACATCACACATCCTTGTCTAAGGGCCCTATTTTAGGGAAAAAATTCCCCTTTTTCCTACATACTCAAATTGGGCTACTATCCCTTTTTAAAAACTCTTTACTGCTTTCAGTAACCTACCTCCTACACCATAACTTGCAACATCCCCAATTTCCCCCCCTATCCCCCTGTATACGCCTTTTCCAAACCCATAAAATGCCACAAAGCCTCTTTAGCCTTTTTAAAATACTGTTCACTTAATTTTTTCAGTAAAACACCTGGCCCACACCCCCCTTTATAAAGGGGAAAAGGGGACAAAAGAGATTGAAAAAAAATTTTGGGGGAATAAGTTTGCTGAGTACACCGGGAAAAGTGTAGGGTTGGGGTTTAAAATTAAAGAATTGGGGTAAGACAGAATGGGGATTGTGGATGAGCAAGGAGGTTTAGGGGGTTGGGGGGATGTGTAGATCAAGTGTTTACATTGAAGCATATATGTGAAAGTATTTAGAAAAGGTAGGGAAATTTTTATTGCATTTATGGATTTGAAAGGATATGATAGAGGGATAGAGGAGCAATGGGCAGATGTTGCAAGTATTGGAATAGGTGGTAAGTTATTTAAAAGGTAAAAAGTTTTTTGGGAGTGAGGCCAGGTTAGGGTTTTGTAGAATAGAGGGAGACTACTTCCGGGAAAAGAGGTCTTAGCAGGATGTGTAATGTCACCCTGGTGTTTAATATATTTATGATGGGGTTGTAAGGAAGTAAATGCTTTGGGTGTTCGGGAGAGGGGTGGGGTTAAATTTTGGGGAATCAAAATTTAAAAAGGGAAGACAAGTTAATTTTTTTGATGATCTGTGCTTATGGGAGATTCTAAAGAAAAATTGCAAAGGTTAGTGGATGAGTTTGGGAATGTGTGTAAAGGTAGAAAGTTGAAAGTGAACATAGAAAAGAGTAAGGTGATGAGGGTATCAAATGACTTAGATAAAGAAAAATTGGATATCAAATTGGGGAGGAGGAGTATGGAAGAAGTGAATGTTTTCGGATACTTGGGAGTTGATGTGTTGGCGGATGAATTTATGAAGGATGAGGTTAATCATAGAATTGATGAGGGAAAAAAGGTGAATTTACCTGGAGAGAGTTCCGGGGGTCAATGCCCCCGCGGCCTGGTCTGTGACCAGGCCTCCTGGTGGATCAGAGCCTGATCAACCAGGCTGTTACTGCTGGCTGCACGCAAACCAACGTACGAGCCACAGCCCAGCTGGTCAGGAACCGACTTTAGGTGCTTGTCCAGTACCAGCTTGAAGACTGCCAGGGGTCTGTTGGTAATCCCCCTTATGTATGCTGGGAGGCAGTTGAACAGTCTCGGGCCCCTGACACTTATTGTATGGTCTCTTAACGTGCTGGTGACACCCCTGCTTTTCATTGGGGGGATGTTGCATCGTCTGCCAAGTCTTTTGCTTTTGTAGTGAGTGATTTTCGTGGTGGTGCGAGTGCGAGTTTTGCGTTGAGGTATATGTGAAGTCAAAAAACATTATCTATGGAGGCAAAGAAGGGAATGTATGAAAGTATAGTAGTACCAACACTCTTATATGGATGTGAAGCTTGGGTGGTAAATGCAGCAGCGAGGAGACGGTTGGAGGCAGTGGAGATGTCCTATCTAAGGGCAATGTGTGGTGTAAATACTATGCAGAAAATTCGGAGTGTGGAAATTAGGAAAAGGTGTGGAGTTAATAAAAGTATTAGTCAGAGGGCAGAAGAGGGGTTATTGAGGTGGTTTGGTCATTTAGAGAGAATAGATCAAAGTAGAATGACATGGAAAGCATATAAATCTATAGGGAAAGGAAGGCGGGGTAGGGGTCGTCCTCGAAAGGGTTGGAGAGAGGGGGTGAAGGAGGTTTTGTGGGCGAGGGGCTTGGACTTCCAGCAAGCGTGCGTGAGCGTGTTAGATAGGAGTGAATGGAGACAAATGGTACTTGGGACCTGACGATCTGTTGGAGTGTGAGCAGGGTAATATTTAGTGAAGGGATTCAGGGAAACCGGTTATTTTCATATAGTCGGACTTGAGTCCTGGAAATGGGAAGTACAATGCCTGCACTTTAAATTAGGGGTTTGGGATATTTGCAGTTTGGAGGGATATGTTGTGTATCTTTATATGTATATGCTTCTAAACTGTTGTATTCTGAGCACCTCTGCAAAAACAGTGATAATGTGTGAGTGTGGTGAAAGTGTTGAATAATGATGAAAGTATTTTCTTTTTGGGGATTTTCTTTCTTTTTTGGGTCACCCTGCCTCGGTGGGAGACGGCCGACTTGTTGAAAAAAAAAAAAAATTATTAATTTTATGTGAGAAACTTTCACAGTTCAACAAGAAATTTCCATGCATTTTTACTTTTACTTTGGTCATTTTTTTTATAGTGTGAAGTGATATATTTGTACATATTTGTAAGATATTTGTGTATCATAGAATGTAGCTACTTTTGTCTTGAATACTGCTATTATTGGATAGATTTTTTTATTTTTCTTTGTATTTTATTTCATCCTTTTTTAAAGGGAAGTTTTTTTAATTTCTTTTTTAAAAATTATGCCAAAGAGTTTGCCATTTAAAATTTTATTTTAGTTTATTATTTTTTGGGACATGATTTGAAAAATTTTGGGTTTAGGAGGCTTAGATAGTGCAAAATTTGGAAAAGGGGGCTTTGATCCGGATTGGACATACCCAAACTTGGATAGACCAAAATCCCTCCCATTCCCTAATCATTTAGCCCCTGAAAGTTGTGCTTTCCCCGTTTAAAAATGGGTATGAAGCGAGATGCCTTTCTTGTGCAGAAATTAGTAAAACGTCCTCATTGTGTACCAAAAGAGCCTTTCGAACATAATTATGACAAACAGAAAAACCTAACTGGTGCTTTAAAACT